AGTCTTGGCTCCGGTTCTGTTTCGTGGCGGTCTACCCGCTCGTCTTCTATTCTCAGCTCCAGCTGTGAGGCTGAGATCTACGCAGGGGGCATGGCTGCACAGGAGTTACGCTGGCTCACCTACCTGCTGACCGACTTGGGAGAGGTGCCTCGTTCTCCTCCTGTTTTGTACGTCGACAACAAGGCCATGCTGGCCTTGTGTCAGGAGCACAGACTGGAGCACAGAACGCAGCACATTGCCCTTCGCTACTTTCTTACTCGAGAGCTGCAGCAGCGTGGTCAGCTTCATCTTGCTTACGTGGCCTCTCGGGCCAACACTGCTCATATCTTCACCAAGGCACTTCCGCCTTGTGATCATCAGCGTTTCTGTACTGTTCTAGGCCTTGTGCCTACCTTGCCTCACCTGCTCACTTCTTGACTTTGCTTGTACTGTGATCTATATATCTATACCTGCATGCTTTCACTTGCTAGGTTTTGATCACTGTCCTGTTTGTTCTGTGCTATATAACTGTGCATGTGAACTGGCCTTATGGCGGTCTGCTTGTGCTCAGAATGTGTGGCGACGTTGTGATCCACCCTGAGCTTGCTTTGCTTCTCTTGACTGGTCTTGTGACCCCCTCTTTGCTCTCCCCCACTTTGCCTATGGGGGTGTGTCAAACTTATACTCTACAGTTTGTTTAGGCTGTAGTGGGGTAGTTACTATGGGGTACAGTAAGTTTCGGGTTTCCTACTTGTACCCACTACTTTCCTAGTGCAAACACTTCTTCTTTCTGACACATAGGACTCGGCCGGTGTAGCGTGCTCGACCGAGCACATCTCCTGCAGCGGAAACGAGCAGCATTTCGTCATCCTCATTCTGCAGCTTCACGCCGGTTTCCTTCAGCTGACCAGCCAACAACAGATTCGCCTGCACGCGCGGGACGTACAACACGTCGGGGATCAGAATCTGCTTTTCGGTCTCCCCTTTCAGAGCAACAGTGCCACGACCTTCGACATTCTGAAGCGCCCCGTTGAATCCGCGCACATGACGGATTTCACCTCCTGGCTTCATGTCGACGAAGGCCTCTCGCATTCCCATCAGATGATGAGAGCAGCCGCTGTCAAGAAGCACCACGCTCGGATTTGCCTGCACCGCTGCAGCAACCGCCTGGAAGTATTCTCCAGCCTCCGGCGCCAGCGAAATGGTTGTCTCAACCACTCCAACCATCGAACAGGAGGCTTCCTTGCCGCTTGAGGTGTCTTCCTCTGATTTCGACGGCGTTTTCGACGACGCTGGCTTCTCCTTGCGCGGCTGGTGGTCTCGACGACGACGCTCGCTGTCAGACTTCCCGCGGCTTCTTCTCTGATCGTCGTCGGACTTGTCGCGATCAGGGCAGTCGTACGAGAGATGGTCAGGGTTTCCGCAGATGTAGCAGCGACGGCCTCCTCGACGCGAACTACTACTACCGTGATCATTGCCCTTCGCCGACTTCCCGCGGTCGGCGCCCTCCGTTGACTTCGTGTTCGACAACTTTCCGCCACCGCCTCCACCTCCGCCCGACTTCCCACGCTGCCCCGTCTGACGTCCCTGCTTCGTCGGAACGACGTAGTTGGCCTGCGGAAGGAGCTCCAAAGACCGCTCAGACTCCTGCATGAACTCATCCTGGATGATGTGACTCGAAAGCGAATCCTCGTTCAGAGTCTCGCGCGCGCCGGGCATGATCAGCATTCGTCGCATCAGATTGTAGCTTGAGGGGAGGCCATTGATGACATGCGTGACATACGACGCCACCGAGTACTCGAAGCCAGCCATCTGCATGTCGGCCAAAATTCGCCGCGCCCGATTGCAGTACTCGGTCGCCGATTCCTGCTCGCTCATGCGAATGGTGGCCAATTTCTTCTCCAGTTGGCTGATGTAGAGGTCGTCGGTCGCTTTGTAGGTGCGCATGATGTACTGCCACACTTGGTAGCCGGTGTCCACACTAAGTCGCCACGGCTTCACCGCGACTTGCACCAGCGGCGAACAGCACCTCGAAATGACCATGAAGGTCAAAAGATGAGCAGCGCGAAATTCCGCCAACAATTCAGAGTCGTCTTCGTCCGGCATTTCTACCTTGCCGTCAACGAACTTCTTCAATCCGGCGATCTCTAGCTGAGGTTCGATTGACTCAATCCATGTGATCAAGTCGTGTCGTCCTTCGAGCGGCTTCGGCACCGCGATCTTGTCCGGCGAAAATTTGAAGTAGCCGTACGCCGGCGCGATGCCTCCGTCGCGACCAGCCAACGCATGAGTCGCCGATGTCGGCCTGGCTCCACTCCGCTGAGGAGAAAGGCGCGACCATCAATGATGCCATTCGAACTTCCCGCTGCCGTCGAGCGCTGAATTCGCGCCTGCATTCCGCCGACGCCGGCGTCGGCGGCCCGAATCACTCCACGAAGCCTCGTGCTGCCTTCGCTGCCGACTTGGTTATCACCGTCGACCTGGTCGTCGACGCCTCCTTCGTTGCGTGCCGGTCGGGGAGTGGCGGGCAATCCATCCGCCTCAGTACGGGTCGTTGGGTGATCGCGCGCCCACTGCACGCGGGTTCCAAAGAGCAGAACATCCAAGTTCGCTCCGCCGTACTCGCCAGCTGCGTGGCGTGCCCGAACGTCGTCTAACCGCGCCTGCAGGGTATCCTCTACGCCTGCAGCGACCTCCTCGTGGTCAACCATGGCGGTCTAGACGGATGCCGGCCTACTACAACTTAGGTAATTAACACAGAAGTCGGCTAATCTGAAGGCTCTAACGCGGGGTCGTTCCACGCTCACCGCACCATGCGGAGAGTCACCCTACAACGGGAGTGGACTACGAAGGAGAGCACGGAGTTGTGTGGGTGATCGTAGCGCTCTAGTAGCGTTCTATCAGAGTTCTTACTACTTGCTGTGACCACTGAGAAATTTGGCAAGAGTTTCCACTAAGGAAATTGAAAGAACATTGAAAATTGAGAATTAGAGTACAAAGAAGAGCATGTAAGTGATATCACTGGAATGGCATTGCAATCCCTAGCAAGCATTCTGCAAGGCGAATTGCCAGCACTGCATCAGAGCGGTTCGCCAACGCTGAAACATAGCGGCCTGCCAGCGCTGCATTCGCAGGTGAATATCTGCGCAGGTGTGCACCTGCCGAGTAGGTGCAGGTAGACGGTTGCACCGTCAGAGACATTGCGCAGGTGCCAGGTAGAAAACGCTCCGATGGTTTCGTCAGGTGTCCACCGTCGAGCACGTGATGCCATTTTGCAGGTCGAATTTCGCATGCCCCTGTCAGAGTTTCGCAGTCGCGCGAATTTGGCCAGCCAGTCCGCCGAGATGAGACTCGCCGAACAGCGCCCTTCGATCAGAGAACGGGGCTCCTCGAAAAGCACCCCGTCCGTCAAAGATCGCGCGACCCAGAAGCAGATCAGAAGACGAGCTCGACCACAGAGGCACCCTGTCGACCAGTGCTCGTTGATGGGCTGGTGAATCAGAGGACAACCTCCTCGAAAACCACAGGCTGGTTCAGAGGACGGGCTGATCCAACGCGACGATCACTTTGTCGAATTCACCACGTCGTCGCAGAGAATGCCTGTGCCCAAGCGAGGGCGGGGCCTTTCACTCCGACAGAATTAAGGTTAATTCGGGTTGCTCCAATAAACATATGTAGTGATACATCTACACTATAGTAGTGTAGAATACATTGGTTGGATTGGGAGAACTTGTGGTGTACACTCTATAGAGTGGACCACCTCCTAAACCCTATAGGTTAGGGTTCTCTCTTGTTGGAACTCCACTTCTTGAAAACCACTTTGGTTCTAGCATGGTTCATGCCCAAGTGGTCTCCTAAGATTCCTAGGCTTTGAGAGGAAGTTTTAAGACTACTAAAGCTTCCGTTAGTAGCTTAGTCCATTCTAACATAGCTAGGAAGGCCTAGCAATCTGTTGGAATAGGAGCTACTCAAGGAATTTGATCATAACACCTTGGTGGAAGCTAAATAGCTTCCATCCCTCCCGAAGGGCTGTCAAAATTGCACCATGGCGGACTCTGGACGTGGGAGGGGAGGAGGAGAGAAGAAAACTGTTGGAAATCGTGTGGATCCGTTTGGGAGGACGAGAAGAGCGACATCCATTCACGGAGGCGCTCAGTCAACTTTGGCCGATCAAGATGTGCAGCATACCGTTGGAAAGGCCTCGGCACGATCTACAACAATTGCCTCGGGGTCGTTGCCAATTGACGAGCGGATCGGACGCAATTCGCGGAATACAGTCGGCGGACGAATTGGAAAATCGCGAATCGGGGAAGATTTAAAGCGCGGAAAAAAGATTGGAGGGCAGACGCCGACAAAGGAGGCCAGGGCGCATCCAACAAGCCAAAAATCGGGAGAAATCGGCCAACTTCGACGAGTTTAAGCGGCCAGCTCGGACGCGGGATCCAGAAGCGCGATACATCATCGGAACGGTCTCGGAGCAAGGATTAATATGAGCCAAATGGCTCATCATTTGGACGTTTGAGCACGGAGTTCCGCTCTAATAACCAAGAGGGTGTGAATCTTCCCGAATCATCTTCACCGTCACCGCCGCTGCCTCCACCACCACCTCAACGTCAATCTTCAGTGCTCCTGCCGCAAATGGATCATGACTCAGGCGAAGGGAAGCTGGAGAGTGCGCCAAATTTCGACGAGAGTGACTATTGGACTTGGAGCTTCCGATTCGAGCAATAGCAGAGGCGCACGATCTATGGGGGTACTTTGATGGTTCAGAGGAGCGGCCTGCATCGGGTGACGCACGGCTAAAGTGGGAGAGGAGAAATCAGAAGGCATTTGCCCAATTCTGCAATGCCTTGGTGCCAGATGAGTTGATTCGCTTGGTACGGGAGTTCGGCGGCAAGACCGAGTTGGGAAACGCACCTGTTGATGGCGGAGCAAGAGCGGTCACCCGAGTTCCTGCAGGCACAGCAGCGGCATACACACGAGTGAAGGAGTTCTACCTTCAGCGTGGATTGTGTAACCGGATGGCACTCTATGAGGAACTCTCTTCCTTAAAGATGAAAGAAGGGGAGGGAGTGGCTGCATACTGGGCGCGTGCCGAGGACTTGAGGTCCAAGTACTTGGCTGCAGGAGGGAAGGAGGAGGTTGAGGAGTGGATGATGAGGGTACTCAAAGGACTACCTCCTCACTTTGAGATGGTGAAGGTAGTGCTGAACAACCAATCATCATCGCTTACTAAGGATCAGCTGCTTACCTCCTTGAGGAGCGAGGAGATGCGGATTGGTGTCGCACCAAGATCGGATGGTGTAGCCACTTTTGGAGCGGGTACGAAAGTGGGCAGCAGCGGCAGGGGAAATTGGGACAAGGGAGGAAAGCATGGAGGCAGCGGTAGCAGCAGTGACACCAACTCGGGCAGATGGGGTCAAGGAAAAGGCAAAGCGGGAGTGCTTGATTTCCCCTGGGGGTCCAAGGGCATGGCTCCTCGGGGGTTGTGTCATGGCTGTTGGGATGAGGGACATGCATGGCAACGATGTCCTCATCGACCTAAGGGAGGCATTCCGGCATTCTTAAAGCGGGGGGGTCGTGGATCCAACGGCAAGGCACAGGTGGCGGATGAGGAGGAGCAGGATGACAAGGCAGAGGCAGTGGTTGGAGAGGCAGTTGCAGCAATGGGAGAGGAGCAGCCGCGAGAGGGGTGGTGGATTGACATTGGGGCCAGCCACAACTTTACTCCTTATGCATCGGACTTCAAAAGTAAGCTTCAGCCACCAGAGGTTAGATTGGGAGATGGACGGGTGGTGAAAGCTGTTGGCATGGGTGAGGTGCCAGTGGTTGGTGCTGGAGGTCAGCTGCTGAGGATTCAAAAGGTCCACCTTGTGCCTGAGATGCACACGCGTGTGCTGTCAGTCCCACACCTCACCTCTCGAGATGTCATTGTCACATTCAAGGGCAAGAAATGTGTTCTTAAACGGGGGGAGAGGGTGTTGGCGATTGGAGAAAAGGAGAGGGGCAGGGACCATGGATTGGTGCGGATGTCTCTTCCTCTTGCTCGGGGCACACAAGGCAGTGCTCTTGCAGCTGGGTCCTCCTCCTCATTTTCCCCATTAACCCTTGCTCATCGCCGCCTTGGTCACACCGCCCCCACAACATTGCAACAGATGGCTCGGGGGAACAGCGTACTGGGCTTGGAGATCCGGGGGGGGAGCACTGATTGCTCCCCATGTGAGCCTTGCTTATTAGGAAAGTCGGCTCGGAAGCCGTTTCCCCACGAGGCGTCTTGGGCACTTAGGCCTTTGAATGAGGTCCACATGGATTTGTGGGGGCCAGTGCGCACACCGTCACTGGGAATCGGCCACAGTCGCAAAAGTCCTTCGCCAGTGGCATAAGGACGTGGAGTTGGAGTGTGGGCGGAAGCTGAAGGCAGTTCGCTCTGACAGGGGTGGCGAGTTCTTGGGGGACGCTGTGAAAGCATGGAAAGCGGAGATTGGCATCAAAACCCAATTGAGTGTCGCAGATACACCGCATCAGAATGGGGTCGTGGAGAGGTGGCACAGGACGATGGCAGAGGGGACTCGCACATTTTTGGTCGACAGTGGTCTCCCTGCTCGCTTGTGGGGTGAAGCATTGATGTGGATCGTGTGGGTTAAGAACAGGGTCACCCACAGTGCTTTGCCTGCCTCCATCACACCAATAGAGGCGTGGTCCGGCCAGAAGCCGCATGTGGGCATGGCTCGGATTTGGGGTTGCTTGGGGAGTGTCATGCTGCATGGGCATGAGAAGGGTGGCAAGCTTGATGCACGGGCTGTCATGTGTGTCTGTGTTGGGGTGGACATGGAGAGCAAGGGTTGGCGCATGCTGGACCCTTCTTTCATGCGCATTCGCATTGCTCGGGATGTTGATTTTCTCGAGAATGTGATGTGGAAGGATTGGGATAAGGCAAAGGGATTTGGGGAGCTTCTGCAGGATGCAGCTGCGATTTCCCAACTCCTCCCTCTTCCACTCTCGCCACCCTCAGCAACGGCTGACGACGTTAAGATGCCACCTTCATCACTGCCACCGGCACCGCTGAGTGTGTCGGTGCAGAAGCAGCCCACCCCTCTGCAGCAGCTCAGTGGCCCCTCGGTCATTCAGCGGAGATCCGCTACACAGGCTACTTCCTCTTCCCCCTCCTCTGGTCCGCGCTCTGTCCCTCTCTCTACGGGTGCCCCTCCGTCACCAGCGACTACCTCCCCACCACCGGTTACGGGTTTGCAGGTGCTTGGTATCTTGTCTGGTACAGGCGGTGAGGAGGTAGGGGGAGATGCTGGTGTGGTTGAGGGCATGCCGTGTTTGGCCAGGGAGGTGGAAGGTGTTGCACTGGCAGGTGTGAGCACCGGTGATGTCCCACGCACAGTCGCTAAGGCCCTGCGTGGCCCTGAGGGCCCTGCGTGGAAGGCAGGCGCTGAGAAGGAGGTAAATGCAATGCGCACTATGGGTGTATGGGATCCAGAGCCGGTCGACTTACCTCCAGGTAAGAAGGCCATTGGGGTCAGGTACGTTTTCCGCAGGAAAACTGACAAGGAGGATAAGGTGGTATAGCACAAGGTTCGCCTTGTTGCTAAGGGGTACACTCAGGAGCCCGAGAAGGACTATGATCAGGTATTTGCCCCTGTGGATAAGCTTACCTCAGGTCGGGTGCTTCTTGCAGAAGCCGCGGAAAAAGGGTGGCATGTACAACAGGAGGATGTTGATAATGCTTACCTCAATGCAGTCCTTCAAGAGGAGGTGTATGTGAGGCAACCTGAGGGATTTGATGATGGTACAGGTAGGGTGTATCGCTTGCGCAAAGCTCTCTATGGGCTCAAGCAAGCACCTCGTGCTTGGAATGAGGAGATTGGTACCACCCTGATTGCAGCAGGGTTTGACCGCAGTACATGTGATGAGGCTCTGTACATCAGGTTTGTGGATGAAGAGCCAGTGTATGTATTGGTGTACGTGGATGACCTCTTGCTTGTGTCTCCACGCTTGGAGCTGATCGGTCAGGTCAAGGAGGTACTTGCTCAGAGGTACCAGATGAAGGATCTTGGTGAGGTATCCACGTACCTTGGTGTGGAGGTTCGCAGGTCGGTCAAGGATGGGTGGTTGGAGATTGGTCAGGAGAAGTATGTCCGTGGTCTCCAGGGAAGGTTTGGTGATCTGCTGAAGGAGACCCATAAGGTGCATACTCCAATGTCACCCAATGATCTCTCTAAGATCAGGAATGGTACTTGGATGACTGAGGAAGGTGTTGCAGCTGATGCCAAGGTGTACCAGAGTCTCATTGGCAGCTTGATGTATGCTGCTGTGACCACCCGTCCTGACATGTCTTTCACTGTCAACACCCTTGCACAGTCCTGCGTGGCACCAAGACGCATTCACATGCGCGCTCCACTGAGAGCACTCAGGTACTTGGTCGACACAGCTGATCGTGTCATCAGGTATGAGCGCCAAGGTGGTGAGCAGGTTGTTGGGTACACAGACTCGGATTGGGGTGGTGAGACTGATGGCAAGAGTCGCTCTGCCTACATCTTTAAGCTGGGAGGAGGAGCAATCAACTGGTATGGCAAAAAGCAAGACAGTGTTGCAGCAAGCGTTTCTGAAGCTGAGTACAAAGCTCTATCGGAGGGGGCCAAGGAGGCCATTTGGTTGAGGAGTTTCTTGGCAGAGATGCATGTGGGGGATGGGGGGGCTATTCCATTGCTCTGTGATAATGAGGCTGTTGTCTCCCTTGCCCACAATCCCGTTCTCCATCAGCGCACCAAGCACATTAAGGTGGCATGGCACTTTGTACGGGATGCGGTGCGCCAGCAGGAGGTCGAGGTGCACTCAGTACGCTCCCACCTCCAGGATGCCGACATGCTCACCAAAGCTCTTCCAAGCTTGCAGCTGCATGAGAACCTGGAGCACATCAGCATGCGAGTGATGGCTGCGAAGGCCAAGGCTTCATTCGCTGGAGAGGTTTTGTTTTGATTTATGGGTGAACTTTAATGCTTATTGGAGCAAGGGGGGGTGTTGGAATTAAGGTTAATTCGGGTTGCTCCAATAAACATATGTAGTGATACATCTACACTATAGTAGTGTAGAATACATTGGTTGGATTGGGAGAACTTGTGGTGTACACTCTATAGAGTGGACCACCTCCCAAACCCTATAGGTTAGGGTTCTCCCTTGTTGGAACTTCACTTCTTGAAAACCACTTTGGTTCTAGCATGGTTCATGCCCAAGTGGGCTCCTAAGATTCCTAGGCTTTAGGAGGAAGTTCTAAGACTACTAAAGCTTCCGCTAGTAGCTTAGTCCATTCTAACAAGGAGAAGCCTGAGAAACAAGAAAGGCCGAGTTCAACAAGTTCATGCAACAGTTTCGGGCGATGCAAGCCAACTTGCAGATCATGTCTGGAGAGATGGAGCGACTGATGGTGGACAACGCCGAGCTACGCCAGACGCGAGGTGAAGCGCGTCAGGAGTCGCCCGCCGTGGATGAAGCAAGTAGCGGCTCCACACCCAACGACGACGTCCTTAGTGAGCTACAGGGCTCGCTGGACGCTGAAGAGGAGTGGGCGGCACGCCAGCAACAAGCATGAGGGACGCCAGAGCAACAGTCACGGCCGCAGCAACAGGCACAAGCGGCGTCGATCCAACACTCGCAGACGACGCCACGACAGGCACCGGCGACATTTCCGGCGATGGCTTCGGTAGCGCCCCCGATGCATGCAGTAGCAACAGTCTCAACAACAGTGAAAATAAATCTGACAAACCCGCCACCGTTCAAACCCAGCGACAAAAACCGTTACTGTGTCTGCATGGCTGTTCGGCGTGGAGGTTTTCTTTTTTAATGCTGCGCAAATTGCTGATGATGCTACCCGCATTAATTTTGCAGTGTCACTGTTACAAGGACCGGCGTTGGAGTGGTGGAAGCGGACTCTTTAGACAGAGGGGACTCCGACAGGGCTGTCACGTGCGAACGACGGGACCTGGACATCTGTCACGCAACGAGCAACTTCAATCTTCGGAGTGGCCACGATACGCACATGGACGGAGTGGGGCGCTGCGCTGCGAGCCAGATTCGAGCACGTATCCGCCTCGGATTCTGCTCGCATGAAGCTACGTACCTGGAAGCAGGTGGCGTCGGTCCAAGACTACACAGCGACGTTCTACAATTTGGCTGACCATGTGGACGGCATGAGTGATGCGGAGCGGCTCGACCGATATGTCGCAGGCCTCAAGTACGAAGTACAGTACGAGGTGTGACGGACGAGGCCACGCGACTTCCTCGATGCCGTCTAGGTGGCCGAATTAACGGACGCGCTGATGCAGTAGGCGAGAATGAGTTCCCGAGAGGGCACTCAATTTCGTGGACCGCCGCGCCAGCCCACAATCAACGGTGTGGATGCGCCAAGACGTGGACCTAACACGTGCTTCAACTGCAACCAACCGAGCTGGAGAAGGACTGCCCGAAGCTGAAACAGGGAAACAGGAACGACGGAGAGGGGTCGGGAAAAGAGACGAGTTAGTAGCAGTCGGGCCACCTACTGACGAGACCTCGTCGCCCGGCTATCACCATCCACACCGAGTTGTGGTACCGATACGGGCTATCGACCGCAACCGGACGAATAAGGTGGATGAACACATGGATCACCCTGTACTAGTCGTGGGGAGTGTTAACGGACACACAAAAAAAAATTTCGTTGACGGTGGGGCGAGCCACAGGACAGGTGTCTGCCCGAGATTGACGCGTGACTGGTGGATGGGACACTGCTAGCGATCAATGACGAGGTGCGACAAATTTGGATGAAGTGTGGCGACGATTTCGGGTTTTCAATGAGAATGTTGGCGACAACACTGGACTGTTGCGATGTGCTGCTGGGACGGGATTGGTTGCAGCGATACAACCCTGCGATCGACTGGACGACAGGGGCGATCATGGTGTTGAGCAACAAGGGGCGCGTGACCCTTCTGAAATGGTCGGAGCCGGAGCCGACGACAACACGTGTCAACGCGATAACGATGAAGAGGGCGATAAAGCGGGGAGCGCAAGGCTACACCGTACAGCTGTACGAGGTGGTGGCGTCCGAAAAAATCGCCGACATTGACACGCTCTGCGCTGCTGTACTAGGGGACGTGGCGAGCATCATTCGGAGTTATCCCGAAATTTTCGCGGATGACCTGCCTGACGGGCTGCCACCTCAGCGACCAGAAGACCACAGGATCGAGCTGGAGCCAGGCGCAAAACCAACCGTTCGGTCACAGTGGCGGCTCAGCCAACCGGAGCTCGACGAGTTGCGAAAACAGCTGGATTATCTGCTCTCGAAGGGTTTTATCCGGCCGAGCACGCCACCATACGCCGCCCCGATACTGTTCACGCCGAAGAAAGACGGAGGCCTGCGCATGTGCATCGACTATCGAGCGCTAAATCGGATCACCATCAAAACGCGTTACCCAATTTCGCGAGCAGACGACTTGCTGGATCAGCTTCGCGGAGCTCGCTTCTTCTCGAAAATCGACTTGCGAGGTGGCTACCATCAAATTCGCGTGTTCGCCGGCGACCACCCGAAGACTGCGTTTCGCACTCGCTACGGCAGTTACGAGTATACCGTGATGCCTTTTGGGTTGACGAACGCGCCCTCGACCTTCCAGCTCACCATGAACGGGGTGTTTCGGGACATGCTGGACAAAAAAGTCATCGTTTACCAGGACGACATCTTGGTGTATAGAAAGACTCGGAAGCAGCATTTAGGGGATTTAGAGGAGGTGTTCCGGCGATTGCAGCAGAACCGACTGATTACTAAGGGCTCTAAGTGTGAGTTCTTACGGTCGGAGCTGGAGTTCTTGGGACACGTAGTTCCAGGGGAGGGCATTAAAATTGACCCTCGCAAAGTGAAGGCCATTTCAAAGGGGAAGTCGCCCACGATCATCACGGAGTTGCAGAGTTTTCTCGGCTTTGTTAACTACGTCCGACGTTTTGTACTGAATATGACAGGGGTAACCAGGCCGTTAACCGATATTCTGCATAAGGGCGTGCAATTTTGTTTGGGGGGAGAGAGAACAGCTGGCCTTCGACGAGGTGAAGAAAATTTTGAGTTCACCCCCGGTGCTTCGGTTGGCAGACCCATCTCGATCGTTCGAAGTCGTGCCGGACGCCAGCGATTTCGCCATCGGCGCCGTCCTCCTACAAGACTTTGGCAACGCGCTGCAACCCATCGCGTACGAGTCATGGAATATGCAGCTGCCCGAGCGCAACTACCCTGTACACGACAAAGAAATGCTCGCCATCGTGCATGCATTTCGTACCTGGCGCTGTTATCTCACGGGAGCCGACGTCACGATACCGACAGGCCACAAATCATTACAGGACATGCGCAGCCAACCACAGCTCAACCCGCGACAAATCCGGTGGCTCGACTACCTCGAGTCCGATTTCACCTACACCA